CCCACCCCCGCCAGCCCAGGTTCCACCGACCAGTTGGCTCAAGGCCAACCACAGGCCTTGGTGTTTCTCAAAAATATGCCTGATTTTCAGAACCCGCTGAGTCCCTGTGCTCCCAGAACAGGTCTTCCCTCTTTCTGTTCACCTCATCTAGTAGACCTGTTGAGTAAAACTTAACTGGATGTTTGTTAAAATGATAAGAAAGACTTTATTCAGAACTATTGCCAATAGGTGTCAAGACTATCATAATAGGGGAGAGAGGTGAAGCTCAACCCCCAAACACAGCAAAGACAGCTGGGGATTTATACCTAACAAGCAGAATGAGGGGACCAGTAAATGGAAAGTTACTGCAAGGAAATAACCATGAATAGGGGGAGTCTAGCTAAAAACACTAAACGGGATTCTTGCTGAAGACAGGCCAGAGTGACCAGATATCAAAATATCAGTTATCCATGGACAACAGGAGTGAGGGGCCTTAAAAGGGGTTAGGGTCCATGGGAGGGGATGGGTGGGGGGGGGGCGGAATGAGGACACATTTGTAACTCCTTAACTAAGAAAGAATTTAAAGATAAAAAAAAAATCAGTTATCACCTGGCCGGAGTGGCTCAGTGATTGAGCATTTACCTATGAACCAGGAGGTGGAGATTTGATTCCCAGTTGGCTGTGGGGCACAATCCGCAGTGGGGGACCTGCGGGAGGCAGCCCATCGATGATGCTCTCATCATTGATGTTTCTATCTCTCTCCCTCTCCCTTCCTCTCTGAAATCAATACAAACATAAAATATATTTTTAATTAAAAAAAGAAGATATCAGATATCTCTCTAAATTGGGCTGGTCAGGCCCAGCAAGGATGGGGGAGGTGGGGGAGCAGTCAAGGTCAGGACCTAGTCCGGAAGAGGGTTCAGAGGAACCTGACTGAAACTTGGTTAAGGAGAGGTCAGTCCTCTACTTCACTGAATTCCCAATCCATTGATCCTGCCTTCTTTCTACTGTCTCCCACTCACTTCCTTTTTCACCCAGCTTAAAGGTCACAGTCAGTGAAAAGCACTCCCTTGCCTCTCTCTCACTTAGTTACACCTCCTGGCAAAACCACAGTCCTGGTAAACACCATTTTTCATCTACCCTGATCCTGCCCTAGCAGCTGAATGTAGCTGGTGAAAACACTCAACTACGGCTGCCAGTCTCATTTCAAATTCATGACCATGAAACGTAAGTGGGTCCTTAATGCTGCCCAGCACTCAGACAAGATTTCCCTAGTCCATTTACTCTCCCACACCCCTAGATGACTATTAAATCTTCACCTCTCTCCTCAACCATCCAGTGCTTCCCCCACTGTCCTCACTCTCAGCTCACTGGCTTGTTTCCCAATTGAGAAAACAGAAGCCATCGGATGCTACTCTAAGACAGTGGTTCTCAACCTTCCTAATGCTGCGACCCTTTAATACAGTTCCTCATGTTGTGGTGACCCCCAACCATAAAATTATTTTCGTTGCTACTTCATAACTGTAATTTTGCTACTATTATGACTCATAATGTAAATATCTGATATGCAGGATATATTTTCATTGTTACAAATTGAAATAATTAAAGCATAGTGATTAATCACAAAAACAATATGTAATTATATATGTGTTTTCCGATGGTCTTAGGCGACCCCTGTGAAAGGGTCCTTCGACCCCCAAAGTGGTCGCGACCCACAGGTTGAGAACCGCTGCTCTAAGAGCTCCTATCTACCCACCACACTTTGCTCTGCTCTCCCTCCAGTTACTAGGAATGAACTCATCATACTCCCAGTGATGGTTAACCAGCCACTCGGTCCCATGTCATCATTTTGTTTTCCGTTTCCATTTAATCATTCCCACTGGTATAAATATGCTTTTATTTATCTTGTCTTAAAACAAAATTTCTTGAATCTACTACACTCCCCCATCATCACTCTATTTCTTTGTTGTTAATTCCTTATAGCAAAACTCCTTATATGAGCTGTCTGTACTAGTCATTTCCAATCCTCTCCTCTTTCTTCTTAAACCCACTACACTTAGGCTTTTGCCCCCAGCAAAAGGGAAACTGCTCATCAAGTCAACAGTGACTTCCAGTTGGCCAGTCCTCATTTTACTAAACTACCAGCAGCATTTGACATACTTGATTACTGCCTTCTCCAACACCTTCTCATGTGGCTCATAGATTTCCTCCTGTTCTCTCTTTTGCTGGTTCTTCCTCAACTCCCCTCCTTTTTAAAAATAAAATAAGATTTTAAAATATAAATATATATATAATTAATATATTTTAATGATTTTTTACAGAGAGGAAGGAAGAGGGATAGAGAATTAGAAACATCAATGAGAGAGAAACATCGATCAGCTGCCTCCTGCACACCCGCTACTGGGGATGTGCCCGCAACCAAGGTACATGCCCTTGACTTGAATCGAACCTGGGACCCTTCAGTCTGCAGATTGACGCTCTATCCACTGAGCCAAACCAGTTAGGGCTAAAATATATTTTTATTGATTTCAGAGAGGGAGAGAGAAATAGAAACGTCAATGATGAGAATCATTTATCAGCTATCTTCTGCATGCCCCCTATTGGGGATCAAGCCTGCAACTTGGGCCCTGACAGGGAATCTAACTGTAATCTCCTGGTTCACAGATCGATGTTCAACCACTGAGACATACTGGCTGAGCAAGATTTTTTGTTGTTGTTCATCCTCACCTGAGAATATTTTTCCATTGATCTTTTAGAGACAGTGGAAGAGAGAGGGAAAAACAAAGAAAATCTTTGATGTGAGAGAAACACATTGATTGGTTGCCTCCTGCACACTCCCTGAC